TTTTGTCTCTTACCAATTACCGTTTCTTACCAATTTTTGTCTTTTTACCAATTATCTTTCTCGTCTTTTTCCTTCTCGTCTTTTTATCAATTCTCCTTTCCTACCAGTTATCGTATTTTTCTCAATTCTCAACATGCCTGCTATCGTGAAAATTCCTGAGACAGACGCTGAATACAAAGCTATAGTCTTGTACCTCCAATCCCAAATACTTCCATCCGATGTCAAAGACTGTGCACAAAAAAAGTCTAATTTCGCTCGCCGTTGCAAAAAGTTCGAAATCGACAAGGATCAAATCCTTTATACTAAACAAACCGCGAAGAACGAAAAGCGTCGCGTGGTTCCCAAATATGACAACGAATTACGTGACCTGATATTGAACCGGTTTCACGATCAGTCAAACCATCGTGAATACCATAAAACGTATTCGGCAATTGCAGAGAAACACATCGGGATTACGCAGGAAGAGGTACGAGCATACGTTAACGAATGCTCAGCATGCGCAATCAATACGTCAATCAAAGAAAGGACTGACATGACACCAGTTGTGTCAACAGAACCCTGGACACATATTCAAATTGACCTAATTGACCTTCATGAATTTGCAGATGTTAATGATGGTTATCTATGGTTGTTAACGTGCGTTTGTACCTTTTCAAAGTATCTTGTGGCAGTTCCGATGAAGAACAAGGAAGCTGTCACAGTCGCAAAACACCTCATAAACGATGTCTTTAAAATCCTAGGTCCTCCTCGCATTCTCCAAAGCGATAACGGGAAAGAATTTGTTGCAGATATAATAAAAAATATCTGCAACATTTTAAACATCAAAATCAAGCACGGCCGTCCTCGCCATCCGCAGTCGCAAGGGCAAATAGAGCGGCTCAATCAGACAATCGGGCGTGGCTTTACTAAACTGCTGTGGGATAGCCATAATCAACTGCAAAGGAAAGATTGGATCAATGTAATTGATGTCTTTGTCAGAACATATAACTCAACAGTGCATAGTGCGCATTCTTGTACACCGCATCATGCATTATTAGGTTGGAAAATGCGCGGTGTCTATGACTCACCTGACACCATCCACAATGACAACAGCGAGGACAACAACAACAATGACGCCGTCGATGATGATGACATTGATAATGACAATGACAATGACGATAATGATGATGCTGCTAGTGAAGATGCAGTCAAACAACATCTTTCGAAAGTACTTCAGGTTCATCAATCTTTAAACGATTCTTTAGACAAGTATCGATCAAAATTATGTCAGAAAGGTAGCGTCCACCGAAAAAAGTGTGCAAGTAATACAATTGAAGCTGGGACATCAGTTTATATTGCACCTGATCATGATAACAACCAGCGTACCCGTAAGAGAAAGCTACAGCCTACATTCTCTGAAACGGGTACATTCAAACGTCTAACGTCAAATAACAAAACGGCAGTCGTTGTAGTGGATAATAAGGAAACCCGCATTCCAATTATGCGAATCAAGCCAAAACGTCCATAGATTTAAGTTTATTTGTATATACCACTACAAACATTAAAAATAATAAAATACGAGTCGAGGTAATATTTAGTCTTAACCATATGAGATCAAATTAAAATCAGTACACAAATATTAAAATTTCAGACACTTAGAGTATGGGCGTACAGCATATTCCTGATTATAATATAGCACTAATGGATTATCGGGAATTTACCTGCCATGTCGCACGACCTGCCATGTCGCACGACCTGCCAGGTCGTGCAGGCTCAAATACTACCCTTCATTGGACACTCAGATGGCTTCTCCTCCATAAATAGAAATATTATGGACTGTACGACGTTTCGGGTTGTGCGACATGGCAGGTAAATTCCTGATTATCGCTAAAGATTATGAGCATCCGCGCCTTCTTTTCTCACTCTGCCCTCCTCTCACTACTCATACTTCAGCAGAATAAGGAGCAAAGCCAAGGAAGTGTTAGTGAATCCCCCTCTTCCCCTCTTTAGTTGTGCATTCTCACACTCTTACTCTCCATCTGCCATTCACTTCACTTATATTCACACACACAATCCCCCCAAAAACTTAAGTTTATGGACACTGATTCAGCGAATTCTAACAGTGGGTGTATGTACTTCAGACACAAATGGAAGAATTGTTAGCAGACGTCCAATATCCAGAGAATACTTATGCACTCAAACATTCTCAAACGCAGAGATGGCAGCTCAATAGAGACTTAGTATGCAACATTATGGGCAGAATACGACCATCGATGCCTGATTCCGCACCAGAGGAATACAAGAAACTTGTCAAGTAGTGATCCTGATAAGCATCCAGATGTACGGAGACTTTGACGATGATAGATGTAAAACCCTTATCACGTCTTGATAAGGAGAGTAAATATTCTTGTACACTCTGACTTACTGGAGATCTGCCTAAACCGAGGTATGAAGACGACAGCTGGTTATGTGTTGTTGTAATAAGTCAATTTATGATATTAACATTGTCAATTGTCTTATTATTTAGTGACTCTCGAAGTTTCGAATGGAGTCTCTGTATCACAAAAAATTGACAATGATAACAACAACAACAACAACAACAACAACAACAACAACAACAACAACAACGCAATGGCACCGAAACAGTTGAATCATAAGCAATCCGGGCATGGCTTTTGATAGCTACCCGACGGTCAATTTGGGACTATTGGAAAGTCAGGGCGGTAATGCTCTGCCAACGACTCATAATAGGAAGGGAATGGTCAGGGGAACTTTGCAGTGTGTCAGATGGATGGGAAAATGACGAAACAGATTCCATTACTGAAGATAATTAAACGACATCCATCAAAAGTATTTCAACCCATCAATCCAAACAACAACAGTGGCTGCAACAACAACAGCACCTACTACTACGTGTAATACAGCAGCGGCGACAACAACAACAACAGCAACAACAACAACAACAGCAACAACAACAACAACAACAACAACAACAACAACAACAATGCTATCGATGATGATGACAATGACAATGACGATGATAATGACGATGACAATGTCGTCAATGACGAATCAGATTCTGCTAGTTAGTGAAGATGCAGTCAGAACATATAACTCAACAGTGTAGTGCGCAGTCGCAAGGGCAAATAGAGTGGCTCAATCAGACAATCAGGCATGGCTTTACTAAACTGCTGTGGGATAGCCATAATCAACTGCAAAGGAAAGATTGGATCAATGTAATTGATGTCTTTGTCAGAACATATAACTCAACAGTGCATAGTGCGCATTCTTGTATGCTGCATCATGCATTATTCAGTTGGAAAATGCGCGGTGTCTATGACTCATCTGACACCATCCACAATGACAACAGCGAGGACAACAACAACAACAACAACAACAACAACAACAACAACAACATCGATGACGATGACATTGATAATGACAATGACAATGATAATGACAATGACGATTCTGTTAGGAAGATGCAGTCAAATGACATCTTTCGAAGTACTTCAGGTTCATCAATCTTTAAACGATACTTTGGACAAGTATGAGCGTCCACTGAAAAAATTGTGCAAGTAATACAATTGAAGCTGGGACATCAAATAACAAAACGGCAGTCGTTGTAGTCGATAATAAGGAAACTCGCATTCCAATTATGTAAATCAAGTTTATTTGTACATACACTACAAACATATACTTATTTGTCTAATAAAATTTACTTTAATAAATTGTTAATAACGTGCGATCTGAGTACATTTAGAAATCAATTCGTGATAATAAACTCGTTTATATCCTCTACTGTACTGTGCCTCACTCTACTTCATCTCGCTCGATCTCTTTTCTCCTCATTCTCTCACTATTCCTCTCCATCCCTTTTCTTCTTACTTGCTTCTTTTTATGTCATTGTACTCATTTCTTTACTATTCAATTAATCTCGACACACACTCTTCCCACTCTACTTCATCTCACTCTATCTCTTCCTCATTCACTCACCCTCCTCTATTCCTCTCCGTCCCTTCTCCCCTTACTTTGCTTACTTTTTATGTCATTGTACTCATTTTCTTTACTATTTGATTAATCT